GTGTGTGTGTGTGTGTGTGTGTGTGTGTGTGTGTGTGTGTCCACAGCTTGTCCAACAGGTCCGCGAAGCACACAGGGCTCCGCCGTTTGATTCCGAACAGAGCTTTCTGCGTCCGTCGCACTCATGGGCAGGCAATGGCGACCGCCCTTCCACCATCAACAAACGCCTTCATTGAAAATTCAGAGCGTTGCAAATGCGCGAAGCCTGTTCGAAAACTCACATCCCTCCGGAAAAGTCTGGCCCGAGGGCGTTCCATGGCGGCGCGAGAGAGGCAGACAGGCGAAGCGCTTCCCGGTATCAAAGCAAGCTGCCCAACAGCCTTGGCAGCTGCTCGGGCGGCCTGGCTAGGCCTGGCCCGAGGCCTGGCCCGAGGCCTGGCCCCTCCCGGTGGGTGGCCCCGAGCCCAATGGGCACGGCCGGCACGGTCCTTCCCCTCGCGGCGCCACCCCCCGTCACGTTCTTATTTTAGACGCGTGCAATATTTTCCGTGTCATTACTCTCTCGGACGGACCGCGGACGCGTCACGCGCAAAGCCTCCCCCTGCCTCGCACTGCCTTGGCGCTTGGGCCACCAGTCGCTATTGTTCTCCAGAATTAATTATTCCACCGGTTCATTCAACCGCGAAGCTTCCGTTTCCGACAGAGCACCGCCGTAAAACTCGTAACCACGAAAAGGGTACATGTTTACCGGTTTTCATGGAGGCGAAAAATGATGGCCAGAGGTCAGCCACTTTTTGCACAGTGAAAGATGCACCTTGGCCGAGTCTTGCCAAGTCACGGTTCGCAAGTGATGGGGGTGTGACTGTACTAAAAGGACTGTTAGCGGAGATGTGAAAGCCCAAGAGCGCCGTGCTGGGATGCCAGCGTGACGCGATTTGCCAAATTTCGCATTTTGGGGCTTCCAATTTTAGGCATTCTCATCACTGTAAAAGCACGTGCAAAATATTCTAAGTATTTTCTTTCCTATTCGCCAGATCCACGTGACCCGCGCCTAGCGCAATTTCCCTGTTCCAAACGGCTGTGCCGTGAGATGGTCATCGTCCCCTCGCTCGGTGTTTGATGCCGGCAGTGTCTTCCTGTCTCTGTCATACTCACGGGTTGTTCCGTCTGGGTGCGAGAGAGACAGGGCGCGCCGCGGGGAGGGGCGTGTTGGCCGAGGGGTGGTGGCGCGGCGCGCCGCGTGTTGCTGACACGCCGTTACACTGCACGGCCTGCACGCGCGGCGCCGTAAAGAGAGTCTGTTATTTGCAGGACGCCACGCCGCGCCACGCCGCAGGCTGCATTCGGATCCAATATCATGAGGCCGGGCTGGGCCGGGCGAGCCGCGGCGTGGTGCGGCGCGACCGGCTGCGTCACGCTCTGGAAGGAAAAGGTATGACGCCGCGAAACGGACAAATAATGCCGCAGCTGTGCGGCTCGGTTACAGTCGAACTAACGACGGATTTTTGGGTGGACTGCAGAGACTAAGGCCTCAGTTGGTCAAAGAGCGATCGAATCTCTGTAAGAGGCGGCAATTTCCACCGTCGAAAAAAAGTCCAAGACTGTGTGAATACCTGTGTGGAGAATGATTTTAGCTGGCGAAATTGGACATGGCGGGCGAGATCGTCTAGTCTGCAAACCGATGGTCCGACAGACAGAAGGACAGACAGACAGACTGACAGACAGACCGGCTGGCCAGCGACCCTGCAAACAAATAAAAAGACACGCCAGGCTGCTTTGCTTCGACTCGAAAAAAAGGAGGGACAAGAAAAATAACGATGATGGTGGAGATTGTTGTCTTCGCCGGGCCACCGCGCCGTGCCCCGCCTGCCCCGCTTGCCCCGCCGCCCCGCCTGCCCCCGGCTAGAATGGAGCGGATGTTTGTGCTCCACCGACCGACTGCGGCCGCCACCGCCAGGGGGCAGCACCAGGCAGACCCTGCCAGGAAAAAGGCCGGCATTCTGGTCCCCGCCCGCCCACCGCACCGGGGCCGACCCCGCCCGGGCAGCACCCGAAAAGCGACACAGCCACCATGAGGCTCCAGCACCGTTCCAATGCGTCACAGCTGCACGCCGAACGATACCTAATAGTAAGAAAGCTGTGGCGAGGCGCTGAGACGGCCCGCAGTTGCAGCTGCAGCTGGACCTCTGAGTCGTACTTGAACGGGCCGCCACAACTGAGTCTTTTCTCAGCGCCTCCGCCACAACTGAGTCTGTATTACTAGTCGGTATCGTGATACGACGCCAGGGAGGCGACACCACAGTGTTTGTCTAACTGGACTCTTTTCAAGCTCTCGCTCCTGGCATCGGATTCGAACCAAGCTGCGAACAAGAAAATAGATGGGTAACATCATGTTTTGTCGAATCCTGTTCAAAGGCCAGAAAGCTTCAGAGCGAGTCTGGACTTCCCTAGCTCCTTTCACCGCCTTTCCGTATTTTAGCGACGGTCCCTGCGAGCCTGCGAACGCGGAGCGGCACTGACCCGGATGGAGCACAGCAAAGCACAGCTCACGGTCGCCATGTTGGTTCAGTCGACCGCTGCTGGCTGACACGCATACGCACGGCCCGATTCCACTACGTATTTTTCTCAGTGTAGTCGCCATGGCCGTCCGCCGCCGGTCCCGGATGGTCCCGACTGGGCTCCGAGCGTTTCCGAATGGTTCCGACTGCTGGTCCCGAACGGTCCCGACGCGGCGGTCGAAAAGCCCGGCCGTGTTTTTAACAGAGTCGGCACGCCGCGCGCGATCCGTGCCTCGTTTTGTTTTTGTGCGGTGCGGCGGGTACCACTCGGCGAGGCCAGCGGGTAGCAACATCGTGCGAGGCTGGCCGAGGAGGGGGGAGGGGGAACTGGAGAAGATGCCGAACCACGCAGGCCGCGCTGCGCCGCCGTGCGCCGCACAGGCAGGACGTGAGAACCAAGTATCGCCGCGTCGCCCTCGGCCTGGAATTGCTGTCGACGCGTTCAGAGTTCGTACTGCACACAAGACTGCCTGCTGCTTGCAATGCAGAATGGATGGCGAGTGTTTGTGTGTGTTCTATGGGTTTTTGCGAGTTGGTTTGTACTTACACATACCACTTTGATACCCCCGCTGTCGGCGCTTACGGACTCCAAACCGACGAATCAAAATGGACCTCAGCACAACGAGGAGCAGGAACGACGGGCAGGAACGACGAGCCGATTACCTCCACCGAACCTGTGCCGGGGCCTTCGGGTTTGGGACCAGTAATGTCACAAAGTTGGTCAAAAACTGATTGAATCTCCGAAAGCAGCCGTTTTCGCTGAATTTGGGGGGGCCACTGCGTCCGATCTAGTTGCCGTAAAAGGCCGCCCTCGACGTCCTAGTATTCGTAAGACCCTACTCTTTCATGCCCCGTATCGGGAAGACGTTGACCACAACGATTTTACCTTTGACCGCAACGATTTTCCGACCAAGTTGGTCAAAAAGTGGTTGAATCTCAGAAATTTGCTGGTTTTGCTGACTTTGGGCGGCCACTGTGTCCAATCTAGTTGCCGTAAAAGGCCTCCCTCGACGTCCTAGTATTCGTAAGACCCTACTCTTTCATGCCCCGTATCGGGAAGACGTTGACCACAACGATTTTACCTTTGACCGCAACGATTTTCCGACCAAGTTGGTCAAAAAGTGGTCGATTCTCAGAAATTTGCTGATTTTGCTGACTTTGGGCGGCCACTGTGTCCAATCTAGTTGCCGTAAAAGGCCTCCCTCGACGTCTTGATATTCTTAAGACCCTACTCTTTCATGCCCCGCATCGGGAAGACGTTGACCACAACGATTTTACCTTTGACCGCAACGATTTTCCGACCAAGTTGGTCAAAAAGTGGTCGAATCTTAGAAATTTGCTGATTTTGCTGACTTTGGGCGGCCACTGTGTCCAATCTAGCTGCCGTAAAAGGCCTCCCTCGACGCCCTAGTATTCTTAAGACCCTACTCTTTCATGCCCTGTATCGGGGAGGCTATTGACCGCAACTAGTTTGGGAGCGGTAGCCTCACAAAGTTGGTCGTGAAGGGTAAAAACATAATGATAATCGGGGGCCTTTTGCGGTCTTATCCGCCAGGGCCTTTTGAGGGCCAGTCGAGCCTGTCTACATCCCGACAGCATTTCTTCAGCCCGAGAACATCTCCTCATCCCGAGAGCATTCCCGGATCCCAAGAGCATCTTCAGTCCCAGGGGCATTTCTTCATCCCGAGGGCATTCCTACAACCCGAGAGTATTTCTTCATTCCGAGGGCATTCCTTCAGCCCCAGACCAGCAGTATTTTCATCCTGAAAGCGTTTCTTCATTCCGAGAGCATTTCTACAGCCCGAGAGCATTTCATCATCCGGAGAGCTTGCTGGAGAGCATTTCTTCTGCTCGACAGCATATCTTCTCTTTTGAGACCGCAGTGTCATAAGGCTCGAAACAGGGCGGCGGGCGTCACCAGGACATCACTTGAAACCTCGTGGCGTGGCGAGGCGTGGCGGGGCGTGCCGTGGCGCGGCCTATTTTTAACCGTAAGGAGCGACCTCTGCTTGGCATTGCGCCTGCCTGCCTGGCTGTCGGCTGGCTGGCTGTCGGCTGGCTGGCTGCCGGCTGCCAGTCGCTTGTCGGCTGCCCGTCGTCGGCCTGTCCTTGTCCCGGCCGTCCCGGCGCAGCGCAGCGGATTGGGTTGGGGCGAAGAGGGGAAACGAAGGGTGGAGAACCGAAAACCGAAAAGCGAAGCCTGCCGAAGCCGAAGGGAGAGAATCCGAAGGGAGGACGGAGGCAAGGAGGCCACCTGGTGCTGCTTTGCTCGGCTTTGCTGCGGCCGTTGCTGCCGAGGCTTCGTCGCCTCGCTTGCCTTCTCGCTGCTTCTCGGCGAGCGCGGACGGCGGCGCAGCGGAGACGGCGACAGCGGCGCGCCCGGCCCGGCCCCCACCCCCCGCCGAAACGTGACGTCACGCGCTCTGATTGGCCGGCGCGGCGAGTGGGAGGAGCACGCGGCGGACGAGGCGAGGAAGACGCGGCGATAACCGACGGACGAGCGGCGCGGAGCGGGCCGGCAGGAAAGCGGAGCCGAGGGAAAGAGAGACCGAGAGAGAAAGACGAAAGACCCTCCAGTTGGGACTTGGATGCCGTGGTGTACAGAAGTGTGTGCGCGCTCCAGGCAGCGCCGTGCCGAGCCGCAAAGTTGTGACCCGTTGTAAGCACTACGGCGCCGCGGTACCGGTACCGCACCGCGGCCTTCAAGCGCGCCGCCAGCGCCTGCCCGCGTGTGTCCGTTCGTCCGTCCGTTCGCCGGGCCTTGGCCGTGCTGTGGATAACCTAACCTCACCATGAGTTGTGGGTACTTCTCGCCGGTCGCCGGTCGTTGTGGATAACTTGTTGGATACCTAGTCGCCGTGTCGGATACCCCAGCGTCAAGTAAGTTAGTTGTCGTGTTTTCGGTTTGGGCCGTTTCGGCTGCTCGGCTCGGCGCTGGGGGCTGCCGAGCCGAGCCAGGCCCGTAGCGCTCGGCTCGGTTCGGCTCGCCTCGGAGCCGTGCTGGCCGCGCTGGCGGGCTGCGGGGAGGGGCCGGGAGGGCCGGGGGGTGGCGAGGGGAACTGCCGTGCCGAGGGGGAGCGCGGCGCTGGCGCGGTGGAGGTCGGGCATGCGCGTTGGCTGTGTACGGGCTGGCACCAAGGCTGGGCGGCGTGACGCGGCGTGGCGCGGCGTGGAGTGCCAGCCGGCACGTCGGTTGTGTTTACTTTCTGCTAGAAAGGCCATCCACGGTCGCCCGGTGGAGCTGGATCGCCGGTTGTGCGTCTCAAAGTCGCGCTCCGAAGATGCCGTGGCGGAGCGCGGAGTCCAAGGACACCGGTGGCCACGGGCAGGCTGCAGAGGGGCCCGGATTGAGTCCACAAGTCCACCGGCGTGGACCGGCAGGCCGAGCGGGCGGGTATGACCTGAGAAAGGTACGACCCGTTCCTCCGTGTTTTGCTAAAAGAAAGAAAGAGAGAGATGTTATAAAACGCTGAACCGTGTCAGTTCGAGTTACAGCGGGGTCTGGTCTACAATTAGGATTGGGTCGGGCCCGCAGAAGGGGAGGCGGGGGGAGGGGAGGTCTTGTTGTGTATTCTTTTGTGATGCGAGAATCGTTGCCGCTGCTTCCCCCCTCCCCCAACCTTTTCAAGGAGCCTGTCCCAGGCCATCCTTCATGTGCATTCCGATTCTTCGCCGTCGTCAACAAACGGCTCGGTACCGCCGCGCGTACTTCTTGGAGTCCACCCCCAACCCCAGTTCCCCCACCCCGGGAGGAAACGGATGTGTATGATCACACGGAGTGAGCGAGCGTGTGTGTGAGTGTGAGTGTGAGTGTGTGCGGTGGTGGTGGGCTGGGTCGGGGGTTCCGAGAAGGGGGAGGAGGCGGTATAGTGCATTACCAGGGAGGCAGAGAGTCCTGTCCATCTGTTTCTTCTCTCGTCACGTCTCTCCCTCTGCGAAGCCACGGCCCTGCTTTCAGGAAGAAGGCAGCCACCCCAAGGCCGGCGACGTCACGGAGGACACGTCGAGGACCCCGTCATCATCAGTCGCCCCAGGAGTCCTGGCCGGCCTCGGACTTTGTCGAGTTGTGGAAGATAGTAGCGCCTCGCAGGTGATAAACCCTCAGGCAAAGGCACGCAACTGGGGGCCGGCGCGCTGCAGTTGCGGCACTGCGCCGTCCTGGAGGGAGGGAGGAGCAGCTATGAGGAATGAGTCAGTCTGTCGCTGGATGCCGGCGATGCCGAGAGCGACAGGTACCCCACGGAAGCAGAGAGAGAGAGAGAGAGAGAGAGAGAGAGAGAGAGAGAGAGAGAGAGAGACGTCCTCGGCCATCTATTTTGGCAGCTGAAGCCCCTATCAGGTTGTCGCACCCGGCCGGCGCGCCGGCGGACACTCCGTCCCTAAGCAAACGACACCGACTGATGAACTATTTGCTTTGTTCAGCAGCTGGATGCGAGCCAACTGTTTCTTTCCACGTCCGGAGTCCAAGCTGTCATGAGGAATTAGGAATGCCGACACGGCGTGCTCCACTGCGAAATCCGGACTCGGTGCGCGGGGAGGCGGGGCAGCGCAGTGTAGCGCACTGAGGCAAGCACCTCGTCAAAGGCTGCCTGCCAACAGCGCTACGGATTTTCCCGCTCAGCTCTGTCTCTCTCGCACCTGCAGGTCCCGCAGGGGACGGCCCGTGAGTGCGAGGGAGACAGACAACTCGTCCTTCCAGCAAGGCTCGCGCGGGACGACCGGACTCCAAAATGATGAAGACGGACGTCAAGAGATGATTTCAAAATGCGTGCAGAGACCGCGCGGCAGAGGCAACGCGAGGGGAGCTCTCTCTCTCTCTCTCTCTCTCTCTCTCTCTCTCTCTCTCTCTCTCTCTCTCTCTCTCTCTCTCTCTCTCTCTCTCTCTCTCTCTCTCCCGCACACATACAAACACGCTCGCTTTGACAATCAGCTCCAGGTAAGCGGCAATTGACCTCGTTAGGGCAGGTGCCTTCCTTTGAAAGGTGCCCGTTCGAAAGGCATGCGTGCTGCCCGCCACTGCCCGGCACAGACGAAAGGCCTGCCGGAGGAGGAGGGGGAGGGGGCACGACATGCCAATCCAAGATTCAAAAGGAAACAGGTCAAGCGCGGTCACACTGCTCGCCCACGTGTGTGCTGCACTAGCTCTGTCCTTCTCGCACTCGTGGGGCATCGCGCAGGGGCGCGAGAGGGACGACACGACTCTTCGACCGGGCGACGTAGGCGACTTGGCTGAGGTTTGGCGACGGCTGGAGGTTTGAACAGCCCCTGGACTTGCAACCAGCTCCGCGCGAAACGAGTGGAGAAGGGTGGCCGTAATCTCCGCGGGAGGGCAATGAGGGACCCTCGACGAGGGTGCGGCGACGCGGCGCACCGAGCGTGGCGTCTCTCTCACACTCACGGGCAGACCCCGAGGGCCCGCAGGGGTGCGAGAGAGACAGAGAGACGGAATCGGCCGCGGTGCTTCTCACCGGTCTTGGCCGCCACCCCTCCTGTGCGACAAGGCCAATATGACGAAAGCCAGGTCGCGCTTTTATGCAGTTGAGGCCGTCCTGCTGTCTCTCTCGCGCTCACGGGGAGCCCCGTCGGGCCGTAGGGGTGCGAGAGAGGCAGAGCGAAGGACTGCGTGCGACACTGTCGCGGGGACGGACGGGGTGACCGTGGGTGACCCCTCCGGACGGTCTATGTGGACCACTCCGTCACCCGCCCACATTCCATCCATCCATGTCCAGCCGGCCGCGTGCATCGGCAGCCCGTCTCTCTCGCACTCATGGAGCGGCCCAAAAGGTGCGAGAGAGACAGCGACGAAAACGACTCTCAGTCTGAGCCGGCAGAAGCCCGATGAAGACGCGTAAACTGGTTTCGGCGTGGTGGCGTGCCGTGGCGTGCCGTGCCGCGACCTTCCCGTGCGCCCTGCGATAGGCATCGGCCCGGCCTTTCGGTCCGCGCGGGCGGCCGCCATGATGGCCACCGCGCACACCGCGAGTCCAAGCTTTTGTTTATCGTTGGCGGCAGCACCTGTGTGATCGCTGCTAAGCCTAGCTAACTTGGAGTAGCACGACGAGGAGCTGGCAACAGGCAGAGGAGGGCGGCGGGGGAGGGAGGGAGAGGAGAGACTGCCGAGGGTGGACGGGCGAGTGGGATAGAGTGCCTGGAGGACTGGTGGCGATGCTAGAGTGCGACCGGGGACGAACCGCGGAGGGAGGGAGAGGGAGGGTTGCACCGCGACGCACCTTCGCGAACGGAGGCATGACGGAGACGGGTCCCCGCGCGGAGAGAGGAGAGAGAGAGAGACACCTGTTGAGCGAAAGCCGGGGGGTGGCGCGGCGCCGCGGCTGAATTGGAGTGGTCTGTCGGAGAACGGCGTGCGTTCGACGGGCCTACGCTGTCAGCCGCACCGCTCCAGATCCACCCTTCTCTCCCGCGCGCCGATCTTTTCCATCGCCATCTCGGCCAATTTGGCTTGGCGGTCATACGTCGCGGGGGAAGGCTGTGGTTCCGGTTCCCACGCAGCGGGGGGCTGATTTGGCCATTCACTGCACCGTAAGTGGCTCTGCTTCGGAGCCTGCTGGTGCGGGCCAGGCACGCCCCCGGCCACCCTCACGCAGTGCAACCCTCTCCCTCGCAAAGTGACGGCGCGATGCTTGCCGTCGTTGGAAGTCCAGTCTTGACGCAACCTGAGGCACACGGGCTTCGGAAAAGCCACTCGCAGTGTCTTGACGAGTGCAGAGCGCCGCGTGCGCGTGCTGCGCGTGTAGCGCGTGTGGCCGGAGAAAGCGATAGGCGCGCAGTATGGCTAGTCCGCGCGCTCGCGGTGCGGTGCGGCTCGCCACGGCCCGGCGATTCGCGACCGCAGGATCAACCACCACACTGCGGGCCTGGCCGGGCCGGGCCGCGGGGCGCGGACCCCGTGGAGCCGGCTGCAGTTCGGCTACAGTCTGTCCGAATAGCACCGCCATCGTTCTCCCGGACGCCCCTACGGACGCGACGACAGCGTTTTGGAGCGGACGGGACGGTCTGGGCGCCGCCAGCGGCCTGTAATGTGACGATGACTACTCCGTTTCGGTAATGCGCGGCATGTCCTGCCCCACACCCATTTCCCTGATGGCAGCGCACCCAAGGGCCGAAGGGACCACTACACCGCCTTCTTGACAGTGTACCGGCTTTACTGCGTGTGAGGGCGATAAGGGCCTCGAAAATGGAGCTCATTTTCCTCGCCGCTCGTTTCATTGGGATTGTTTGTCGGCTGCTCTTTGTTTTATCGGTCGCCAAGTTTTGATTGCCGGACGGCCTGGCCCGGCCCGGCCGGACCCCGAGACTTGCGCTCGGTTCAAGGAGTCCCGGCCAAACTCATTTCGACTTTGTTCTCTCTCTCTCTCTCTCTCTCTCTCTCTCTCTCTCTCTCTCTCTCTCTCTCTCTTTTGGTTGCTCGCGGGCGTTTGTTTGGGGGGGCGCGCGGAAAACGGAAGCCAGCCAAAACACGATTTTTCAAAGACATTTGTGACTGTTTCGATCAACTTTGAGGCAACACTGCTCCCAAACTAAGGTGGATAATCGCACTCCGTAACAAAGGCATGCTAAAGGAAGCGCCAAAGACCAATTGCCCGTTGAGGGAGTACGAAATACCGCCTCGGATCAGACACAGTGGCTGCTTAAAATCGGCCCAAAACACGATTTTTCAAAGACATTTTTTAACCGTTTCGACCAACTTTGAGGCAACACTGCTCCCAAACTAAGGTGGATAATCGCACTCCGTAACAAAGGCATGCTAAAGGAAGCGCCAAAGACCAATTGCCCGTTGAGGGAGTACGAAATACCGCCTCGGATCAGACACAGTGGCTGCTTAAAATCGGCCCAAAACACGATTTTTCAAAGACATTTTTTAACCGTTTCGACCAACTTTGAGGCAACACTGCTCCCAAACTAAGGTGGATAATCGCACTCCGTAACAAAGGCATGCTAAAGGAAGCGCCAAAGACCAATTGCCCGTTGAGGGAGTACGAAATACCGCCTCGGATCAGACACAGTGGCTGCTTAAAATCGGCCCAAAACACGATTTTTCAAAGACATTTTTTAACCGTTTCGACCAACTTTGAGGCAACACTGCTCCCAAACTAAGGTGGATAATCGCACTCCGTAACAAAGGCATGCTAAAGGAAGCGCCAAAGACCAATTGCCCGTTGAGGGAGTACGAAATACCGCCTCGGATCAGACACAGTGGCTGCTTAATGTCGGCCCAAAGCACTATTTTTCAAAGACATTTTTTAACCGTTTAGACCAACTTTGAGGCAACACTGCTCCCAAACTGAGGCGGATAATCGCACTCCGTAACAAAGGCATGCTAAAGCAAGGTCCGAAGACCAATTTCCCCCCAGGGTGCGAGAGGGACAGAGCGACTTGGCCACCACTCTGGGTCCTCTGGGTCCTGGCTAACTTGATGCTGATGAGTCATTACTCATTTACGTATTGGCGATTGCACTCTCGGACTGGCGGAAACACGCACGGCGCTAATTGTTGGCTTCTGCATGACTAAAGTCGGCCCGTAAATGCAGCCCTGGTGTGTGTGTGTGTGTGCGTGTGTGTGCGTGTGTGTGGTGCGTACCGTTTGATTGGCGTTTCATGGCTTCGAAGGCGGGGCGCCCTACTCGCCCGTAATTACTCGACGACGCCTTTCTTGCCTACACACACACACACACAGCGTTTGGCTTCGCCGGTGGCTGACGCGCTGCTCGGCGAAAGCTCGGCTGCAGCGCGGCGCGCGGGAAACGGCAACAACTCTTAATTAAATTCCGCGCGATATTGCGCGTGGCCTGGCGTGGGCGCGTCATCGGGATGCATCCTCACGCAACGGTAGCGGCCGGCCGGCCAGGCGGACAGCGCGGCCGGCGCCGCTGTGGCCAATAAGCCACCGGCGGGGCTATCATCGGGGAGCGGAGCGAGCGGAGCGGCGCTGTTGTTGTTTTTTTCCAATCTCACCAATTCCGCCCAATGATGGGCTTGCCGGGCACCGCGGCCGCCGTGTCGGGCCGTCGCGTTAGCCCGGCCAATTAAATCGTCCCTCTCTCTCTCTCTCTCTCTCTCTCTCTCTCTCTCCTCTCTCTGCGTGTGTTTGCAGGTTCCGAGGGGCTCTCCTTACCCTTGGCGGATCGTGCCGCGGTCGCTTGTCGCTCAAATCCCTCTCCCGCCCCCACAGTGCTCCCCCGCGTACACACACACAATATCCCTGATTATCCTTCCCCGCGCGCTGGCGGGGCCGGACGCCCGAATGCTTCCCTGCGAATGTTTTTATGCATGCGTCCTCGCCAAACACTGGCCACGTCCTTCCAGTGCGGTGGCGCGATCCGGGAACAGGTGGCGCCCTCTGTGTGCATTCAATTCCCTGCCGGGCCGCAAACGCGGGCAGCACTTGATGAATGACTTTGTCGTGGGCCCCTTCCCCTCTGCCTCCCCGGAGTCTTCCCCGGGACGTGTCGTGAATATGGGCCCCTTTTTGGGCGGCCGAGGTGCACAGGGGAGTGGGTGGGGCGTTCAGGAGACAGTGCCCAAGCGGCGGCCGCGTTCAACTCGCTTTTTTGCGAAATGAACAGCATAGAAAGGCGGCCGAAAACAGAGAGAGAGAGAGAGAGAGAGAGAGAGAGAGAGAGAGAGAGAGAGAGAGAGAGAGAGAGAGAGAGACCGCGCGAGAGGGCGCGGCGCGCAGCCTCTCAGGGTATCGACCGTGCGGGTGGGGGAAGAAGAGCGTGTGTCGCTTACGCCCTGCTACCCCTTCTACCCCTTCCCTGCATCCCTTTTATTGGGGATCGTCATCGCTTCGCCATCTGTGCTGCTGGCCCGGCCCGGCTGGCTCGCAGTGGCGCGGCGTCGCAGCGGGCCTAAGCGGCCTAAGCCCTCTAATGACTCGGCAAACAAACGCCTTGGATTCGACATTGGGCAAAAATGTCGCCCTTCTCTCGCCCCTGGCGTTGCCACTGGCGTCGTCATTGGTTCCTCCGCCTCATTGTTGCCTCCCTGTTGCAGGATGACGTCAGCCAAGGCCAAAGCGCCGGCCCGGCCGGTGTTCGGCACCCTCAACGAGCACCTGGTGTGCACGCTGTGCAAGGGCTACTTCGTGGACGCCACCACCATCACGGAGTGCCTCCACTCGTGTAAGTATCTGCCCGCAGTCCGTCTCTGTCGTACTCATGGGGCTTTCCTTGTGGGTGCGAGAGAGGCAGAGCCCTGCGTAGGCCTCACGCTACACTCAGCGAGGCGAGGGCCTCTCCGGTTGCCCACTCTATGTCCGGGAGTCTGGGACGAGGGTGCCTACACGTCGCCCAGTCCGGCATACGTCAGCCTCGACAGCTGCGTGGCTGCGCGCGTGCGACCGTGCCACAGACACGGTTGTCCAAGTCGAATCGCCGATTCGGCATTCGCTGCCTCCTCCCGGATTTATCTTGCTCTTTTCAGAAGGAAGAGACCAGTCGGGGAGAGGCCGCCGCCGATCCGGACCACCTTGGGGCCCGCGGAGTGGGGCGGGGCGCGGTGGGGTGGGGCGCGACCGCGGCAGTCTGCCCGCCTGCCCCGCGGCCCGCGCCGGGGGGCTGGTGAAAGGCAGCGATAGATAGATAGCCCCACGGGGCCGCGGGCCGCCACCAGGCCGCCACGCCACACGAGGACCCCCAGGCAGTGTCGCGGGCCCCACCGCCCCGCCGCACTGGCCGTCTTCCAAGCGGCGCACACGGCCACGCCACGGCCACGATGGACGCGGCGCGGAAGGAATCTGACGGGCAGGGTTGTCGGCGCGCCGGGGTCCGCGTCGCGGAAGTGCTCGGCGTGTACCTGAGACCGGCCGTCGGCACCACCGGGCACCGGCCTGCTGCACTAGAAGGAGACCGAGCTGCCACCCCGTCAGCCTGACAGCTTTCCTCTGCGGTGCTTGCCGGAGCGTGGCGGGGCCGGCGGCTGGCGCGGGGCGGCGCGGGGCAGCGCGGGGCCCGGTGCGGGGCCCCTCTTCCTTCCGTGTCGGCCGGGCACAGGCCGGGCAGGCGGGCAAGCACGGCAAGCCGGCCGGGGGCCTCCGCGCCACGCCACGCCGGCGGCACGGCGCGGCACAGCGCCAGCCTGCAATCAGCTGACTCGGGTATCGTCCGCGCAGAAAGTAGCTGGCGACGGCGTCGAGACCCGAGTCCCCGGGACTTGGACGGGATCCTGGAAGCGAGTACCCGCTGACCCCGCGACCCCCCACGACCTCGGCGACCCCAGGGGGTGGCCACTCTCTGGCCCAGTAGGCCTGGCCGGCCTGGCCTACCGATGCGGGAGACGAGACGTTTGCCTGTGGCGGTACGAAATGTGGCAACGCCGCGCCCCGCACTGGCAGCGCGGCCTGGCCACGGCCTGGCGCAGCCACAGCCCATGCCGGCGTAGCGCAGCGCAGCCCGGCAGAGCCCGGCCCTGCGCGGCTCGCCACGGCGCGGCGCCTACGGTGGCGGTGGTGGCTGCGGACCGGGCAATGCAGGGCGATGCCTCCGCCGCCACCGCGCCGCTACGCCGCTCTTGCTGGCACATTTTGTGTTGTCTGGGCACAGCGGCCGCGGGGCCGCGCGGCCCGGCAGGGCGGATCCAGGCGGCCCTTTTAGAGGGTGGATGTGAAGCTGGCGTCGCGTAGCGTCGCGGCGGCCCAAGCTGCGCGCAAGCTGCGCAAACTGCGTCTTCGCGCCATTTGCGCGCCAGCCCAGGGACAGGCTCTCGTGGACCGCGCCGCCGCCGTGGAGGTCCAGCGCGGTGCGTCTCGATGGGGCCCGCGCTGCCTGATAAGAGAGAGACTGGCTCTTCCAGGAACCATGCGCCGCTCCGGCCCACTGTGAAAAAAGTTGGCCGGGCAAGGCGACACGCTGCGACACGCCGCGCCGGTCGGTCAGCACTTCTGGAAAGCCAACCTCAGCACCAGCGGGGTGGACATACCCGGGGAGGGGGGGAGGACGAAATCTTGACCCTCATCGCCCTCAAGCTCGTCCTTCTCAGCCATTATCCAGTATCTCCAGGCAGGGGGTCCACTGCGGGGCAATAAAATTGCACAGGGAAGAAGATAAATCGTAAAAACGGGCGAAAAGCGGGAGTCGCGCCAACGCCGCGAAACGCACGGGAAAAATTGATCCGTCCGTCCGGGGTCTGAGTCAGAGCCGGTGTGACGAGGACAAGGCGTCCCGGCCCGTCCCGGCCAGACGTCGGTTTTGGATGACGGAGCTGTCGAAGCGACGCGCCAAACACGGGAACACGGACAACACGGGCCGCGACAAGCTTTTTGGCGCGGTCGGCGCGGCGAGGCATGGCGAGGCGCGCACGGCAGCAGCAGCCGATGCAATCCGTGAAAGTGGCCTCGGCTTCTGAATCGGTAGGCGGCGCACCAACCAGCGCAGCCTGTTTCCTCGTCCTCGTGTGTGCGTGCGTGTGTGTGTGTGTTGAGTGGCGGGGCAGGGACTGGCTAAAAAGTAACGTACTCCGTGCCAACGTTGCGTTGATTTCGCGCTGATTTGCGCGAACCGTTCCCCCGTCCCGCCGTGCCTACTAGGCGTCTGCTAGGCCTGCTAGGTGTGGACCGGGTCTCGCGGTCGGCGCGCATTACCGTTCCGCCGCGCTGCCGCGAAAGTCTGCCAGAAACGAGTGCGCTCGGTGGTCGTCTCTCTCCTCCACTGCTTGCCAGAAAAGAGTGCTCTGACCGCCTGTCTCTCTGTCCACAGTCTGCCGGAGCTGCATCGTCCAGTACATCCAGGGCAGCAGCTTCTGCCCGCGCTGCGAGGTGCAGCTCCACAAGGGGAGCCCACTGCGCAGCCTCAAGTGAGTTCCCTTTCCGCCATTTCTACCCGACCGAGGAAGGGCGGTGTCCAAACTCTAACTCTCTATCTCTCGCTCGTTGCAGGCCCGACAAAACCCTCCAGGACATCGTGTTCAAGCTAGTGCCAAATCTGTTTCACAATGAAATGCAGAGGAGAAGAGTCTACTACGACGCTCACCCACAGTATGGTAAGTTCGAGGAGTTTCAAGCAACCACCCCCCTCTGGCCGTGCCATACAAACTTCTGAATCGTCCCCCTTCCCGTTGTGATGTTTCACCTGTGTCGCGATTTGTCTCATCCCGGCATCACAACTGCCTCTTTTTATCTTGTCCGACGCTTCCCTGTGTCGTCGTTTTTTTTCCTGACTCGGTGTTTCTGTGTGCGACAGCTGACCAGACGACTCCGGAGCAGCGGGGAGACTGCCTGGAAAGGTTCTACTCGCCGGACGACCGCATCAGCCTATCGCTCGAGTACCATGACAGGAGGTAAGGACTGCCGTGTCACGCTTACGCCGCTTGCGCGTCACAAACACGTCACGGACGTGTCACAAGCACGTCACCGACGCGGCCAGATCGGACGCTAGATTGACTCGCCACAGTCAAAACAAACGCCGCAAGCGGTCCCTTTTACAGGAACTTCTTGCTAGTTGTCTGAAACTGCACTGAGTCCGAGGAAGGCGCCTCACCATTGCAAACGAGGGCCCCGCCAGAGGGCGTTCCTTTCCCCGGAACTACTGTCTGAAGCTGAGTCGACGAGGCCGCCGGCGTGCCGAGGCGTGCTCCAAGGCGTACCGCCCCGCCCCGCCCCGCCACGATAAGATAATGCGGCTGCGGCGCCGCCGCGGTCATTGAACAGGTGTGGCGGCGCGACATTCAATTTAACGAGAAATAAACATTTTCAGTGACCGCGCACGCTCCCTCCAGCACCCTGGCCTATCGCGGCCCTCGCGGCACGTGGCTCGTCCTGGGAGCGGCCGCACCTGCTGTGTCGCATCCCCCTCCCTGTCCTTATTCCGCAATATAAAAAGGCCACAACCTCCACCCTTTGAGACCTTTCGGTGCACGCCAGGTGGGGCGGGCTGCTTCGGCCCGCGTGCTTCGGCCCGCCCCCGCGCGCGACCTTTGTTGTTTTCCCTTGACTTGAGGCTGCAGGCTGGCCGGCTGGCTGGCTGGCTGGCGCGTCGCGCCCGCCGCGTCCGCCGGACGTGGCGTTATCTCAACCCTCTCGATCGATCCCCCGCGCCACCCACCCCCCGGACGCATCGATTGGAAAGGTGCGTCTCTAACTGGAGTGTCTCTGTGTTGCAGGAGAGTCAAGGCGGGCGAGGAGAGGCCGCTGCGGCCCAAGCGGTACCTCGAGTGCCCCGCGCTCTTCACCGTGGGGCTGCTCAAGAGGTTCGTCAGGGACAAGTTCGAGCTGCCGTCGGAAATCCTGGTGAGGACACGCGCGCATTTGCAGTGCGACGGTTTTGCGCGCGCGCCTCCGCGCTGAGTGCTATGCGTGAAACATCGAATCCTGTTCCGGTCGTCGTTCCACTCGTTCTAACGCTGTTTTTCTCCTTTCCCGTTGCAGATTGACGTTTTCCTGCGAAGGGAGAGCCTTGCTGATGAGTACACGCTGCTGGATATTGCCTACATCTACCCCTGGAAGAGGGTGAGTCTGCACCCACTCGGCATCCAATGGCGTAAGCTGCCCCTGATGAATGCGCCTAACGCCCCTTTTCTTTGCAGAGCGAGCCCATGCGGTTCTTCTACCGCCTGCGGGACTCCAGGGTGCCGGAGAGCGACGAGGAGGTGGAGCGGGAGATGCCCTCGCTGTGCGCCGCGGTGACGGCGCGGGCGACGCGGGCCTCGCGCAGGGCCTCGTCGGCGTCCTCGCTGGCCAGCCCCCTGGCCAGTCCGCGCGGCAGCCCCGTGCCCCGCATCAAGACCGAGTCCCCGCCGCCGGCCAAGCTGACGACGCAGCCGCCGGCAGGCACCCCTCAGCCAAAGCCCCTGACGCTGGCCAAGCCCGCGCCGACGTCGCCGCCGCCCAAGGTGTGCAGCCCCACGAGCACCGGGCCAAAGATCACCCTCACCATCTCACCCTCGCGCGGCACCGTCACGTCCACCACGACGGAGCTGCCGCCCAGGCCGGAGAACATCGTCTGCCCCGCGCCGCTCAAGTCCCCCACGTTGGTGCCTGTCCCAGCGCCCAAGCCGGCGACGCCCACCTCGGCGACACCCACCTCGGCGACACCCACCTCGGCAACGCCCACCTCGGCAACGCCCACCTCGGCGACGCCCACCTCGGCAACGCCCACCTCGGTGCCGCCTAGCACCGCGGCGCCGACCCCTGGACCCTTATCGGCACCCTCGGCCAAGAAGCCCAGCGCGCCAAACGCGGCCGCCGCACCAAAGCCCATGGCCGCCGCCCCCGTGTCGAAGAACTTCCCCGCCACCATCACCACGAGGACGCCCAACGGTGGCTTCATCACGGTCAAGAACCCGGTGGGGCGGCCACCCAACGGCATGACGGTGGGCGCCAAGATCGGCAGCCCGCCGCCCAAGAGCCCGGTTGGCCCGGCCAAGCCCGTCGCGTCCTCGCCCAAAGCGTCGCCTCAGGCCGCCGTCAAGACCAAGCGCCACAGCAACGGGCTGCCCGTGCTCGCACCGAAGGACCCCAAGCTGTCCACGACCACGCTCAGCCCCATCGTGGCCCTGCAGAACATCGTCCAGATCAACAAGATGGCGGAGGCCATCAGGAACCCCGGCGTGGCCAACGGCAACGCGCGCCCGGCGGGTAAGGAGCAGGCCGCGGACGACGAGAAGAACAAGGTGGAGACGGCCAAGGCCATCCTCCAGCTCAGCATGGGCTTCAAGCGCAGCGACACGCCGACGGACACGACGCTGCACAACCGCATCGACAACATCGTCAAGGGCCTCCAGGACGACGAGTCGAACGACGGCACCCTCTTCATCAAGAGCGAGCCGTCCAGCCCCGAGGCGCCAGCGGACGCCGCCAGCCCGCGCGGCTCGCCCGTGCCGCCCGCCGCGCCCGCCCAGCCCGCCAACGCGGCGCCGCCCGCCATCCCCAAAGTGAACGGACTGACCATCACCCCCATCGAGCCCGGCAAACGCAAGGCTGCACCAGGACCCGTGGGCGGCGTGGAAGAGAAGAGGATCAAGATGCACGACGCGCCGCCGGCGGCCTCCAAGAGGCCCGCCGAGGCCACGCCCACCGCGTCGGGCCCCGCCAAGATCGCCAAGGTGGACAAGATTGCCGAGTCCATCCAGCAGAAGCAGCAAGTGACGAAGAGGCCGCCTACGCCCAAGCCCATCGCGACCAAGCCCTCCGCGCCTTCGCCGGGGACAACCACCAAGCCGCCCATGTCCTCGCCGTCGTCCTTCATGTCGTTCCCGCCCGCGCAGATCAAGCCCGTGTTGCCCCAGGCGCCCAAGCCCTTGGCGCAGCTGGTGCCCCGGCCGGCGGCCAAGTCGCTGCCCCCGCTGCAGCCGAAGCCCGTCGTCATGGCGCCCCAGGCGCCGCGGCCACCGCACCCCGCTACGCCAACCGCGGCCCAGGCCAAGCCCGGCACCGTGCAGCAGAACAACCAAACCAAAGTCAGCCCTGCCCAGCAGAAAGTCCAAATGAAACCCGGCACACCGCAGCAGAATAAGCAAGCCAAACCCGGTACTCCTCAGCAGAACAATCAGACCAAACCCACAGCAGGCCAGCAGAATAACCAAGCCAAACCCGTTAGTGCCCAGCAGATGAATCAAGTCAAACCGGGTTCTTCACAGCAGAACAGTCAAGCCAAGCCCGGCACTCCCCAGCAAACCAACCAAGTGAAACCCGGAACTCCCCAGCAGACCAATCAAGCAAAACCCGGTACTCCCCAGCAGCCTAATCAAGTCAAACCTGGCGCTCCCCAGCAGTCCAACCAGGCCAAACCCGGTACTCCCCAACAGAACAACCTGGCGAGACCCGGTACTCCCCAACAGAACAACCTTGCCAGACCCGGTACTCCCCAGCAGACCAGCCTAGCCAGGCCCGGTACTCCTCAGCAGACAAACCAAGCAAAACCCAGCACTCCTCAACAGAACAACCAATCAAAACCCGGTACTCCTCAGCAGACCAACCAAGCCAGACCAGGCACTCCCCAGCAGACCACCCAAGCCAAACCCGGTACTCCTCAACAGGTTAACCCGGCCAGACCTGGACCCGTTCAACAGAACAACCAAGTCAAAAGCAGCCCTGCCCAGCAGAACAACCAAGCCAAACCCTCCGCTGACCAGTTGAACAACCAAGCCAAAGCCGCCTCTGGAGCGCAGAGTCAGCAGACCAAGCCCGCTCCCACGCAGCCCTCAAAGCCTGCCAACGCGCAGCAGCCGCAGCAGCAGCAGCAGAACCCGGCGACGCAGCCCAGCAAACCCACGGCAGTGCCGTCGCCAATGCAGTCGCCCAACAACCAGGCCACCAAGGTAAGCCTAACTGATCCCTGTCTGAAACTTGCGCCTAGCGCCCCTCTGCTTCAGCCACCCTGACTACAACCTCGTTTTCTTACTTTCCCAGAAGCCCGAGTCTCCTGCCAAGAGCAAGAAGCCCATCCCGGACCTGCAGAGGCTGCAGCGGCCGCTGTCCGGCACCACGGTCAACGGCAGCCTGTCGCTAGCGGAGGTCAAGGAGCAGCTCGCCAAGAAGGGGCACTACAGCCCGCCGTCACCGCAGCAGCAGCCGCAGCAGCCCAACCGGACGCCGCCGCGGCTCATCGAGATTTCGCAGCAGCGCAAGTCGGCCGGCCCCGGCATCCCCGGGCACCGCGACTACGGCGGCGCCCTGGACCTGACGGCGGCCTCGCCACGCGCCGCGGATCACGGCGGCAGCTGGACGCCGCCGCCGAACTTCGCGCAGACGGTGGTGAAGAGGCAGCAGCTGCTGCAGCCCATGCTGAGGCCGCCGCCGTCCTCGCTGTCGTCGGCGTCGCCCTCGCCGCCCGCCGACAGCCCCGGCTCGGCCACGTCGTCCGTCAGCCCGGAGCTCTTCATGGAGCAGAACAGCGTGTTGGCCCAGCAGGTGCAGGCGCAGGCCATCCTGCAGCACATGCAGCTGCAGAGCCTGCTGCAGGCCCAGGCCCAGGCCGCCATGCAGCCGCGCTTCCCGCTCGGGCTCAAGAAGGCCATCGAGGACTGGGGCGTCAAGGCGACCGCCAAGAGGAAGTGATGTGTGTGATGTGATATAGACGTTCTTGCGAACGATTTATCTGTGATAGAACCTTATCTTTGAGTTAATCATGTTTAATTTCGCCCCCCTCTGAGCCCGACTGCAAAGTTCGGGTGGGACGCGAGTGTGTCGATGTTTGCGTGCCAAAACGGCGTCTCGCACGGGGGCTGTATGTTCGGTAGTTCGTTCTTGTGGTGCACTGGACGACTCGGCAGATGAGCCCGTGCCCTGGACTGAAGACGCCATGAGTGAGGCACACGAGTCTCCTTTTTCTTGAAGGCAGGTGTTCAGGTGTTCAAGTTTCCTTGTGGCAAAGCCTGCCTGTGATACTTTCCCGCGCGTTTCCCGTTCGTCTATCCGTGTGCCCACTAGCCGGTTGTGTAGATTGAACTCTTCACTTGATTCTGCTCGGCTCATGAAATCTCACAGCGGTCAAGTCAATGTGATTATTTTATTTTTTCCCGAAATTTTGAAAACTTTATTGGAGTGCGTTGGCACCAGTGGGGGCCATCGACTCCATTGCGAGGGATTGCACTAGTCAATACCGAAATGCGGCGAAGGCCGGTGCTCACAGTCGCACGAGGAGCAATCAACTAAGATGTTACGCTTTGTATCAAGCAGCGAGTACATTTATGACTGAAATTGTTTTGCAATCTGAGGACTGAGACAAGTGTCATAGTTTTGTTACACTGCCATATGTACTGCCCAATACCAAGTCTGTTGCCGTACAGAGTCTGATTTCCTCTGTGCTAATGCGCAACTGCGAGGTTCACTGTTGAAATTTTTCGATCTATTTTTTTGTCGGAATGTGTTGAATGAATTATGTAACGCAGTCTCCCCGCGTCTGATTGGCAGAGACGCGGAGCAGCTGCCGTCGCTGGACTTCCCCGCCCCGGGGTCCAAAGTTGTTAATGTTCCTTTTATTGTTCGAAACGTTACATTTGGGACAATGAAGACGTCTTCGGAGCCAGTTTATGTTTGTACATATCATTGTGTGAAAGGCTGATTTGTAAATTTCACCTGTTGATAACGCTTATTATTAAAATTATCTCTTTTCCGAACCTGTGCCGTCGTCTTTCCTTCCCCTCCCACCGGCCGAGATCGCGCCCTAATACACACCGCACCTCGGACTGGAAGAGTGTTGTTCCAGACGCCACGCGAAGGGTGATGGGAAACACATGCGGTAGTACTCCGCCCGCTCCTTTGCCGTCTTCATTCCGTTGCCCCGGCGACCGAGGCAGCAGCATCAATCTCCTTCTGCCGCCCCGAGGCTGCCCGAAGCTGCCCGAGGCCGAGACGCGCTGCGTGGGGACGTCGCGGCGTGGGCGGGGAGACGAGACGCCGCTCCACTCAACTGCCCCGCAAATAATGAAAACTACGCTGTCGCAGCCCATAGACCGCACCCCATTTCTCTGCGGTCCCCTCCCCCGCCTCCTTCCGGCCATCGGCTTCCCCGAACGGCCCATTTAGGCGGATATTAGAGCCCTGGTCACCGGGAAGCCTCCCCGGCGACGCCACAGCCACGCCGCCCAAGGACGCGCCACGCGATATTTTCAAAGTTGGACGCAAAGAGCTTTACGCCGACACGAATAATAAGACGAAGGAGGTCGCGGAGCCGCGGCGGCGGGGAGGGCGGTGGGGCGGAGAGGCCCGCGGGCGGGGGGTGGCGGGGCGTGGTGCGGTACCGAGCGGCGCGGCTCGCCACGGCGCGGTCCGGCGCACGGCCCTGCCGAGCGGAGCGCGCCAGCAAGCCGAGCCCAGCCGGGCCAGCCGCGCGCGCTGCGGCGCCGAGCCGGGCGACGCGTTGGCGCCGCGGCGGTAGGCAGCACTGCGTCGCGTCGCACGGCGTCGCACCGCGGTGTGGCGTATTACCGACCTGGCCGCCGGCCTGCCGACGGGCTGCCCCTGGCTGCCCCAGGCCTGGCGAGTCGACAGAGTTACGTCACCGCACCTGCACCGGCCGTGTCACAAACACACTGCAAACGTTCCCCGCTGCGTACCGCTGCGGCGCCACCACAGTGCTGCGCGACGCGCCGCACCCCGCTTTTCCGGCGCTTTGCCACCGAGGGTGCCGCCGGTGGTCCGAGGCCCGCGAGGACACTGTCGGCACGCTCGACTTGACGCCGAGTGGGGCAGCGGGGGCGGGCAGCCCAGCCGTGTGTGAAAGGCAAGGCGTGAAAGGGTGCAGCAAAGCCCGCAAGGCCCGCAAAGCCCGAATCATTCCCACCCCAGCGGTTCTTCCGGGTCGCTCCCCGCACCGCCCGGAATCTGGAATCGACGAGGACGAAAAGGAGCGCGACATCTCCTTCGCCTTTTTTCGAATCGCGCCGAACGCCGAAAAGGCCATCCCGTAATTGCGGAGGAGTGAGGGAGGAATGTAATTTCTGGGAAATCTCGGCATTATGCGCGCGGCTCGGGTCGAGCTCGCAGTCTCGCAGGGCCGTAAGGGCGGCGGGAGGGGGACAGAGAGGGAAGAGAGAGGGAGGGGTGGGGTGAAGGGAGAGGGCGCGGCGAAGTACAGGGCGCCGCCAGCGGTAATGACTAATTAAGGAGCAGCACTGCGAGTTACCGCGGCGGGGCGGGGCGGGGCACACTTCCTTCTAAGGGCGTTAAGCCGGCATCCGCCACGCCGTGCCGTGCCGTGCCCTGCCGTGCCGCTGGTGCGCCGCTACACCTCCCGAGATAAACTAGTTCGCTTGACGGTCGCCGCTCCGCGCGCGCCGCGTCTCGTAGAGCAATAAAGCGGGATTAGAATCCCCGCGGGATGAGCGGCCTGGACTAGCATGACCCAAATCCCTTGTCCAGTGGCGCGGCAACGCACAGTGGGCCGGAAGACCGGCGGAGGCGGTCGAAATCCCGGACGCGTTTTGAGCCCAGAGTCGCTAAATGGGAGTCGAACCGAACGTGTGACCCCACCAATGGATTGCTCTCCGAACGAGGAATCCATTGGTGGGGTCACACGCTCAATTCGAGTCCCATTTAGCGATTCTGGACCAAATGCGGCTAGAGTTTTGACCGCCGACGCCACTCTTCTGGCCAACTGTGCCTCGGTGACATCACCGCCACAACGGGCGTCACCTTGTCGCCGCGATGCACTCCGCAGACGCTCTCCTCCCGCTGCAACGCACTGCAACGCGACCGCCTTCATTTCATTCAAATTCAATCAATATAGCTTTTATCCGGCAGCCGCGTCGCGGAGAGGGAGGAGGAGGGGCGGCGTCTTCGAGTCTTCCAGCGGCGCGGCGTCGCCCCCACCGCCGCGGTACGGACAGAAGGGCATCGCGTCAAAAAGATAATAGTACCCTTTTCGAGCGCGCTATGGGCCTCGCGTCTGGACGGCAAGGTAATTTTACTCTTTGTGGGCGTCACAACACATGCATAGTACAGCTTGCCTGCCGTTCTTTTCAAGCTGGACGATAGCCAGCCGTTGGCGCGAGGCGCGCGAGGCTGTCAGGCTGGCTATCGGTCGGGCGCGCGCGGGAGTTCGCGGTGCGTTCACATCTCAGCTCACATGCGGGCACGCACTCCCCTGGCCAGCGCCTTGTCGCGACACACCACAGCCAATGGGGAGCCTTGTCCAGCAAGGCGGCCAATCCCAAACCAAGATGACGCTACGAGACAACGCGACTGGCTTGTTTCGATTTGCGCTTAGCGCTCTTTCAATTTTGGCAAATGTCTGCTGAGGCCTAACAGATGATCTGATGCGGTGATGATGCTGATGCTAGTGATGATGATAGTGATAATGATGATGATGACGACGACGATGATCATAATGACACAGCGGACACTACGCTTTAGGAAACTCCAACTCACCAATACTACTATTCTTTACTTGGTCGCCATTTCGGACTCGACGAGGAGAGCGATCGCCTCGCCGTCGATGCGGCAGTCGGGCCGTGAGCGACGAGCGTCGTTTAGAACCCTCATCATAATTATTTGTTCCATTCGTCCTCTAACAAGCAGAGCGAGCGAGCAGAGCCGAGCAGAGCCCCAGAGAGAGTGAGGTGGAGGGAGGGGAGCGGAGCGGCGACGCGCCGGGAAAAGGAGGGGGAGGGGGAGGGGAGGGGGACAGGAAGAAAAGGCTTTCGGTGCCGAGCACCCTGCCAAAAAGTATCACGCGCTGCAAATACACGCACTCCGAGTCGTCAAGGCACGCCGTGCCGTGCCGCCGTGCCGCGCCAAGCTGCTCAGCGTCGCCAATTATATCACTCCGCCCTGGAGAACGCGTCTACACCGCAATAAAACATTCGTCCACCAGGCTGGCTGCACACTGCTCGCTGCACACACCCAGTTGATCATTTTCAATGTATCATCTGTTGAAAAGAAAACAGCGCGGCGAGTTTGCACCGCGGGCAGCGCCGCCACGCGGCCGAGTGGCGAAACACACGGCGAGCGGCAGAGCCCGCCAGAGCCCCTCCATCAAACAAAGGGAGAATCATCGCGGGGCGGGGCGGGGACGCCCCTTTCGCTTGGCCGCGCCGCCCGGCCCGGCGTCCCGCTCCCCCTCCGCTGTAAAACGGGGGCTGAAACAATTTGTGTATGACCTGCGGGCCGCCGCTGCGCCGCGCCGCCGCACGGGCGCCCTCCTCTCCTCCCACACCACGCCTCCTCAAGTAGTGGGGCATTGGCGGGCATTGGGCATTGCCTCGGCATTACGCCGCACGCACCATTTTACTCCGCAGCCCGGGGAGTCTACTCGGTCTTCTCGTTCAGCCTTGAACCTCGAACCTTCTGAGCGATTCGCTGTCTCTCTCGCACCCAGCGGGACGCTTCGACAGTGAAAGGACAGCGACGAAATATCGACTATGTAAATCAGACAGCAGCATCATCATCTTCATCAACGCTGTTAGGCCTCATTTAGCGGTTCGAGTCAGCAAGACACGACTCCGACCTCGCGCGGCCTCTCCGCAACCAGACGCGGGAAGCGTCCCATTTGACTGCGTTCGTCTTCTGACTGATCCGGCGCTGCTTGCAGTCCGCCTGCAGTTTGACGGTCTTGAAGTCCCGACGGCCAAACCGCAAACCGTCGTCGTCTTGCTTGCCGCACACATCTCGGTCGCGAGATGTTATCGCCCGACCAGCCCGGCAGGCCGAGCGGGGCCGAGCGGGCAGCACTGGTGCAGACCAGGCCATGTGGAAAATGAAAAATGTGTGCTTTTGGGACGCAAGCTGACGCTGACTGCGCTCACTCGACGAGGTCGTTTTGCCGAGCGTCCGGCACATGGCCACACCATCGAGAGTCAACGAGTGAAACTTTCCTGCCCGCACTGCGCGGGTGTAAGTTTTATCGGATGAGAAATATTGAGGTAAGCACGAAATACCTCCATGAAACGTTTGTTGACTTCTTTTTATTGACAAGAGGAAGAGGAGTACAGTGTTTCTCGGGTCATGCCTGGCAGCGGAGAAGAGGACAAAGAGGCCTGCAACTTACAAGGCCAACCGAATGTCTACGCCGATGTGTGCCAAATCGTTTGACATGGCTGACTGCGACTATGTTGGCATACACTGCGAAAAAGAAAGTTGCAGTCAAATTCCTGTATACACGTTTTTCATGCTGGAGGGCGCGTCTAAGGACACACAGGTTAATTGTTTTAGGTGTAGGTGTTGCTAACCATCAGGCACGGCCTCGCGCCCCTCGACCCGCGTCGAGCTCGAGTCAAGACCCCTCCAACGACGGGCGTGGAGTGTGCCTGGGGGATTGTGGGGCGGAGGCCGGCGGAGGCGAGGCGAGTGGGGCTCGATAATTGTTATTACAGGTGAGCCCGTTAGGCGCGTGGGTTGGCTGGTCCGGCCATCGGCATGGCATGGCCATGGCCATCGGGGCGGAGGGGAGTGAAGGGAGCCGAGGGAGCCGAAGGGAAGGAGGAGTCAAGCAGGAGGGTCCCAAGCAGTCAATCAAGTGTACTTGCTGCGCGCGCTGTGCGTATGCGCGCCGCGGTGGCCCCGCCCCGTCCGCCAAACTAGCCCATGGGTTTTGATTGGTATTTGCTTTTCATCCCTTCGCCGCGGAATCGTTAAAACGTTCGAAACAACTTCTCATTGCTGCGCGATAGTCCATTGC